CCTTGCTACAGAGATGCTCTGTACAAAGCCATTACCTGTGAACTGAAACCTTTTTCAGTTTGTTTTCGTAATACACCTACCTTACTCATTTTGTGAGCTCCTGCCTGGGAGCTGCCGAAATAAGCAGTGTGATAGCAGCCTGGTAGCAGCTGCAGACCGAGGCTTATTTCACAGTACAGCAGCAAGTGCGGAATCCAATTGGTCACTCTTGGCCAGACTAACAGGAAGTATTCATAACGGCAGAATCAACAAAATCTTCATCAATTCCACAAATTTAGCGTATCCATGTGCCTCACTGGAACATCTCAACTCCTTGCCATCTGTCAATCTCCTCCCCTTGATAAAGAGGCTGCATATCCCAATGCAGTCCCAACCGGGAATTTAAAAAATAAGGATATCAGAAACAGGCTTTTAAATGCTTTGGTGTTTGAGACACTTTGTTGTGATTATTTAAAAATCAAACCATACTATGCACTATCCTATACTGAGCTTCCTCCTGCTCATTTCCAGTCCTGTACACTTTATTAATATAGCATTTTGAAAGGTCATAGGAGGTGCTAGATCATCAACCCCAAACAACTTGTACTAACCCAGGGGTACATGTAGTACAACATTGTTCTGTCAGTGTGCCTCAGCAAATAATCACTAAGCCCATTGTGTCCGCCGGCAAGGCTTAACTGAGGCTGGTAGCGATGTAGAGGTGTATGATTCTGCACACAAAATCCTCTCAGTACAAAACATCAGCACTTCTTCATGAGTTGTTCATGCACATTTCAGTCTGGGAAACAAAACCACTCCATGTCTCATTCTCTCCACCAGTGACAACATGAATTGTCATCTTTATTAAGATGATAGATTTTAAACCAGGGGAAGAGATTTGGTTCCAAGATCCAACCTTAAAATCATCTCCAATTTTTAAAGAGAACATAGGAAACCCTATCAATTAGATACCATTGCAGCTTCACTAGAGCTGATGTGCCTTCAGAGGGGGGGAAAAAAAAATCCAAAACACGGAAGCACACACCACCAAAAAACCCACAACTACTTCAGTATGGAGGGAAGTGATTTTCATTTGTATGTAGTGGTTCCCTTCTGTCTCATCTGGGCTACAAGCAGGTAAAAGCCAGTGAAGAAGAGAGAAGCCACTCTTAATAAAGGGCTGTACCTTGAATGAACCAAGCTCCCATGACACAGCTGCACACCAAGACATTTCACTCTCACAGGATCTGACCCATCTGAAACTTCAACATTCCTTACTGCCAAGTTAGAAAGGAATAAGAAATGTCCCTTCAAGATAGATTAATGAAAAGAAGTAGCACAACATACACAAAAAAAAAACCCCAAAAAAGTTAGCACTCTGCTATTGCTGTTATTTTTATGGGCTTTACATAAATTTCCAGATACTTCTATTCCAAATGAAAAAATATAGCATTTTTATATACGACATATATAGCTTATCAAAAGAAGATGTATTTGGATAAGACGAGAAAAACTTATAATTTATACTTTGCCAAAAGTAACGTAAACATCTTTTACCTCAAAAAAATTCAAAACCAAAGAATTTATAGTGTCTCATTCTGTCGTTGTTAGTCACTTGAGCAATTCCCATAGTAGTAAGTCAGTCTGTAAAGTCTGAAGAACTAGACTCGGTGTCAAATTGAAAATAATACCATAAGAGAAGTTTATCAACTGCATATTGTTTTAGGAGCTAGGCTAAGGGGAGTTACTCATTCCTTCTAATAAGAGCAATATGGCAATATATCTTGTTTTTACCAGAGACTGGGTTCAATTAGATTAAGAGCATAAAAAAAGAGAAAGATTCATGATGGTAAGAAACCAGAGATAAAATAAACAAGATTTGGAACAGCTAAGGAAGCCCTGAGAACATGCTAGATCAATGAGCTGTCTTAAAATAAAATATTACACCTCAGGTACAAGTGGAGAGTATAAAAGAGAGTACTTTCTATTTGACATCACTGCTAATCTGTAAAATTTCTGTAAAGCAAAATAAGACCAAGTACTAGTGCTCAAACTGGGTGGCACCACAGGAACCTCCAAAATAGCCAGCATGTTAACATACCAGCTGGCTTCCATAGCTGAACAATATACAACCATAACAACAACAACAACCACCTAGTGCACTCTTCTTATCTTTAGATAGTCCCTTCCTGTTAAAGGGATCATTTAGAAGTTGTTCAAGTTCCAAAAGATGCAAAAACCCTACAGCCTCTTTTCTTTCCCACTGAATTTGACAGGAAGTTTACCCCCAACTCCGGTTTCAGTACTACTTGACTTAATTTGAAAACCACAGGCCTGATGGTGCGTGGAGCAACCTCACATCCCAGGCTCATGTTCTCATCATGATGGCAAACAAGTTGATTCTTCCCTCTTATCTTTTTGCAAGTCAGCCAAAATTACCAATAAGTATCTGACAGTACTTTCAGTTCAGGTGTCAATTCCCTGCAATTGTGATTTAAACTAACTGGCACTGCTGTGATAGTTGCATCTTTCAAAGACAGAATTTGCAAAAATCTGAATAAACAAGGCTATGGAAAGCCAGCAGCTGTACACACTTGTTGGACACATCACCAGCGATAGTTAAAAAAATCTGTGCAAATGAGAAACACAATTAGAATTTTATAAGCTTTGAGGAAGTTTAGTTCCAGTACAATGGTCATAAGATGAACAGAATATACCCCTAAAAAAACGCAAATATATATATATCCCATACCTAAAAGTCTTTGCACTGAGAGTACTTTACACATAGGACAGTTTTCCATACCCTTTTGATTCAATGCTACAGAATCAGTTTAATTTTCAGGAAATTCAGTTTTCTTGTTTGGCATAAGATGCTTTGTGGAACGTTAGCAGATTTCTTGGCCATCTATCTTAATTGCTCATAAAGATCCTCAGCCAACAGTCAAGTGCTTCTAAAAAATTAACAAAAACCCTGCTACATGCTAATTTCCCAGTTTTTTTTAAAGTTCTAGTCAGTTCTCTCCATGTCAAGTATCAGCCAATGATAATATACATTGGCTTAAAGTCATCATCTTCTTTTCAAGCATATTGTGACTGCAGGACACTAAGTGGTACAGTCCAAAGGAAAAGAGTGGGGAAAACATTGCTGAAAATTATCTGTTAACATCTATCCATGTAAGAAGCACTTGCACTTCCAAAAGCACATACTTGCTCTACAGAACATTCAAAAGACCAAAATTTTGTTAGCCTTAGTTTCTGCAGGAATCCATTTATTTATCTGTTCAACCGGCATACAGGCAGATATAAAAATATATCCATGCCATATTTGAAAGCAGCCTTGGTATATATGCACCTTCAGTAATTTCTTACATCAATAAAATTCTGGTTTACTCAGTGCATAGCCTGATCCTGAGCAGCTAATGGGAGATTTCTTTTTAATTTGAGGGGGGTCTGTTTCTTTGTTTTTTAATAAACTGTGGATTAAGGATAGGAAGATGGGTGCCTATTGCAACTTTTTTCAAGGCCTAGGCCCAAATTTGGTTACCTTTGCTGCATGCCCAAACTTTTGTCCACAAATAAACATACAGAGCCTTTTACTTAAGCAGGGATTCTATCTGCTGAAATCCTGAATCCTTTATCCTATCATTTCTAACGTTTACCTCCCCTCCATTAGCAGGACAATCCCCCATAAATACATCTATGGGACAATTAATTCACATATAATCATATGTCATCAGTTGATTCTCTAGAAGAAACTTATTGCTTAACTTTTGATGCTCTCTCTTTAGCTTGTCTCACAAGGATACTTGATTTGGGAATAAATTACTGGGTTTATTCTGACTTTTTATATTTTGGGATATTCTTGCATTTTTCATTTCTCTCCCTTAAGCAGATTTATTATTGAACTTAAGTAATACATCTAGAGAGCTGTTTGTTTGAACAGAGAGAAAAGCAGTTGTGCTTTTTGCCATGTACAATATGAGTACATTTGACTGAAAAATCAAAATGGGGTGGAAGTAAGAGTAGCAGTGTTGCTGCATAGAACTGCTTGTCTGGAACAAAGGCGCACAAACCAGATACAGCTCCGCTCAGCCTGCAGTCACCTGGGGAAGCACAGGGTGTGCCTACTGCACCGCAATACTTCCACACTGTTGTAAGATGAGGTCTGCCTGCACACACAACTCCTTCTTTACGACATAATCAGGCCAAACTAGGGAGGATGAAAGAATGACTGCACCAAACCTAGCCTCTCCACAAGGCACATAGCCAGTTTGGACACTAGGAAAGCCTGGGCTAAAGCATGGGTTTGGCACCATGGTCCTCCTACTGTTTAAACACATGAAGGACCACAAAGGGAAATATTTTTTTATTTACTTTCAAGTTTTTAATGAATAAATTTTAAGTGCTCATTGTGATGGTTTTCTATTTCAACAATTTATTAGATGTGAAGGCTAACAGAACAGAACCACCATATTTCCCAAGCTTATGCCTACTAAAAAGCCATGTCTGATGAATATCCAGCACCTCACTAAGAATCCCACTCCGAATGAGTCTCTTCCTTCCTCTGCTCCAAATCAGTTTCCTGGGATGCCGACTCATCCCACAAGCTAAAGCATGCCCTATGCTACAAAAGCATGCTCCTCTGCTTCACTTTTACCCAAAACTTTATCTGCAGAACGTTGGAGTCTTTTCATACCTAGTAACAAGCCACAATTCCTCTGTTCCTTTCAGAGCCCAAATTTTTGAGTTTTCACTTTCTCCTTGTGCACTGATTCTTTCAGTATCCACCAATTCATGATACAAAGAATCTTTCCAGGAATAAGCAATCAAAACTACCACTGTGCAACACACATCATTGACTCCAGCAGGATATTCCCCAGTAACAGGGAAACAATTGCTGAGTGACTCCCTCAGAGTCAGTTACTAACAGCTCCAGAAATCGGTCAAATAAATAGCTTATCCATAAGAACACGAATTCATACAATGGATCCATCTTGGGCTGTCTCTTTGGGCTTTGAAAGTTCTTAGTTTTTGCATCTGTATAACCACGCTTTGTAAATGTCTCTTTTCACAACTGACACGTTCTTTCTCTCTCTACTGTACAGAAATACACTTGAACCAGAGCAGCCCAACCAGTGAATTCCCCAGCTATGGTGAAAATGGAAATGATACCAGTTTACTTGTTTCACCCCTTCTGGTGGCTGGAGTAGTAATCGGACTTGTGCTATTTCTATCCTGTGTTACAATCATTGTTGGCAGTCTGCGAAAGGATGGACGGTTAAGACACCCACATCTGAGGAGAGATGCTATCTATGGTGAGATTGCTAGTTATAGCAAAATAATGCTTAACTTTATTAATAATCTATCCAGGCAACAAAAAGCATCTGGCCACTGTGCAAGGGATTTAAGGAAAAAAAAAAAAAAAGAGGATGGGTAGGTCACAGGCGGCTTTGTAGTTTAATAGCATCTTTGTGCTGGCACTGAACTCCCATAGTAGAAGCTCCATAGTTAACCATTAACATAAATAAGGCCAATGACAACAGCATTTCTTACAGAGCTTATTTTCCCTTGATACAGTGTAAGATTTATTCTCCACTGCTAGACTCCTGATAGTTTATTTTCATATCCCATTATAGCCTTGCTATAGCATAGAATGTAATTCCTATTTGTTGGAAAGCCAGGAACCTTTTCACACCTGCAGTGTGCACCAGCCTACAACAAACTAGGCAATTACTTCTTTTCTGACCACAAAAGTTAATAACTAGGTATAAACAGAACAACAGGGCATCAAAATGTCATTACAACTGTCATTGTCATTAAAGAGACTGGTTTGCCATCAGAGAAGTCCCAGTTCATATCCCCCTACCCCCTGACAAAAATCGCCCATATTGTACAAGTATTTGGGAATATGAAGGGGTTAATTGTAGAATTATATTTTTGGACAAAATTTTGGGTTTGCTGACCAGAACTTAAAAGCCACTTTGTCAAGGAAATTACAGAATCTGATTATTTCTATATTTAAGGAAAAAGCGGTTACAAAAAAGCTATTAAGTCTTCAGCTAGTAAAAATTCAAATGATAAATGGATTAATGAGTTGAGTGGAGCATCAACTCCCATAGTAACATACAGAGGGGAAAAAAGGAAAAAAACAACCCCCTCCCCCCCCCAAAAAAAAAAACAACCTGTCTGCTATCACTGTAACGTCTATTTTTCCTACTTTTCAACAGCTAAATTTGGGATTAAATAGTTGAACCCAAATTGAAGTTACTGTTTTACCCATTAAGATCAATATTTTGGCTTGATAAAATACTGATCATTAAGAAGATCCAATCACTACATTTAAATCTACTGCTATGTTAATTTCAGCTCTTTATAAAAAACCCTGAAGCCAGGTGAAAACAAAGGACAATTTTCAAACCGCTTGTTAGAAATAACAATGATAGAGAAATGGAAAAAGAAAAGCATAGTGATCTTTTCAGATAAATTCAAAAGAATAATCTTAAACTAAATTTCACCAGTCTACCCAAGTGAAAATTTTACATTAGCACATGCCATCCTAATATCTCAGCATGCTTCCGCTGGCCAGCATAGGAGCAGCAGGAGTCACTGAGAAGTTGGCTTCCTTCAATTCTCAAGCAAAAGGAAAGCACAGTGCATGACAGACTGGATTAGTCCTGGTAAATTCCTCAAGAATAAATTTGCCAATGTGAAAACTGCCGGGACAAGGAACAGGCAGTTCAAGTGGGTCCTGCCTTTTACCCTCTGTTGAGGGAGAACCACTACTATGATGTATCTGGCTCTTCTCTCCAGGTACTATTTTAATGCATTGAGTGAAAAGGAGAGATCACTTTATTTTTAAGATAATTGCAGGGGAATAGGGGAGTGCAGATTGCTGATATTTCCGCAATTTGGGACATTGTTATGGAAATTGACCCTGGAGTATTGAGCATTAACTAACTATCCTCAAAGACACAAAACAGCACTAACTTCTTGGTATTTCTGGAGCTATGAAGCTCTTGTCTGAAAGAATTAAGAAAGCCCTGGAGCAGGCACCAGGACGATTTTCTCCATTTTCCAGTTGTTCCCCTTTTTGTTGAGAACAGCATTTTCTCAAGACACGTACTTAAAACCAAACACCTAAGGCTCCTTTTAAAAGCCTTCACAGAATTGGCAAGGTTTCAATGTATGCAACTCCTGGGAACTTCAGCAATCCTGCTAATGTTTGAAGCTGATGCAGCAGAATTGACGCTCCTTTTCAACCTTTGAGGCACAAGAGAAGCTTTAGACACTTGCAGCTTGTAAGGCAGCACTAAATACATAGTCCCTGTGCCATAGCCTGAAACACCACAGTTCATCTACAGATGATGCTAACTTGCTCTTAAAGGAATAGAAAGGTCCTGTGAAGCCTGATTGCTCCAGAATACCAGTAATTCCCCTGCCTCAGATGGGTTTTATTTTCTGATTTATGGCAGTAAACAGTGATATTGTCTCAGAGAATCCAGCATGGAGGAAAAGAGCAGCAAGTATTAATTCCTTGTTTTCCAGCTCCAGATGGCTTCTCTTATGGTGGTTCTTTTGGAGAGCTGAGATCCACCTGCATGGAAGAGTTTCCCCCAGCTTTTGATTTTGGTTCCTATCTGGATACACTTTCTCAGGTCAACGTCATGTATCCCGATTCACCTCCACGGTAAGCACTTTTCTAAGATTCTGAGTGTTATAGTCCTGTACTTGCAAAGCCTGTTAAAGAAGAAAATAAAACTCCTAGACCTATACCCACTCCATAAATGCAGGTCACACAAACTCTAATTACAGACAGACTTTGTTTAGTTTAAGTTTTCCTTCCTATAATATGTTTACTAAACAAAGGCATGTGTACAGCCAATTCTTATTAATATTCACATTAAAATTTATCTTATTGATGGCATACTAATGAAACAAGTAAGCAAGTAAAATTACTTATGAACATCTTTCTCTGAAAGAAATTATTTTACAAGAAAGTTTCACTTCCAAGAGAAAAATATATACTTTTTTTTCAGGAACTTGCATGTTACATTTATTGCTGACCTTGAGACTCAAAACGAGCAGGGGTGGGGGGAGAAAAGGGGGGAAAAAAGTGCAAGAAACCCTTAAACCTTTCCGTATTTTTCATCAAATCTCACTTCTCAGCTTTCTTAACCCCAGTATTCTATCAGAAGGCAGAACTGCAGAAAACATACCATTCTGACATACCTAGTAATTGTACTTAACCTCCTAATTTGGGATAGGGAGAATATTGTTTCAGATTGCTCATTTTATATCAGTAATCTGTGAAGGAAGATGACTACCGTTTTAGCTGTTTAACCTTAACCTGCTCTGGAGAGCCATAGTTGCCTGGATTGTAGTAGCATCTTCAGAGAAGAGCATCCTTCAAATATCAGGCAGTTCTAATTGCCTGGGGAGGTAACATTGCTCTTGCCAAAGACATTTATTCCAGAAATTATATAGCAGCTCCTTCCACATTTGTGTGCCTACATTCACAATATACAAGAAAGGCCATCATGAGTGACAAGAGTCACACTTTAGGCCATCTATATCTCCTCTGTGTGCCTCACGTACCTTGAAGTTAATAAAAGAAGGAAATCAGTTACTCCCTCCAATGAACGCACAGAAATTGTTTAACTCAGAACACAGCTTCAGGCTTTCAGTGGTACTGTATCTTACAAACAGCAAATAATGGTTGAACAGCCATGCCCCTCTCTTCCCTTTCTTTTTTTTTTCTTTTCTTCTTTTTAAGCAGACTCTGTTTTCAGTTAAACCAGTGTACTCATGAGGCCACCCCTTTTCTGACTGCTTGTATACATATGCAATATAGAGCAAGTCAGTAGTATGAACATACAATATATAGATATTTGCTTTTTCTATTCTGTGCATGTTTTACAAGCAACCCTTTATGTGTTACAAAGCCATACCAAATAATAAATGGGCTTTTAGAGATGGTGTAAATATTTTAGCAGAAAGCTCACATGTGAAAAATTACTCTGAGCCTGGCATCTAAATTTGTAGAGCTTCATATAAATCCACTTAAAAATGTAGAGTGGTTTTTGGACTTGCACCCACAAGTCTTTCCTAATAAAAGCCAGCCAGCTGACACCTAAGCAACAACTTGAGTGGGCAGTTTGCCAGATTTCTGAGAACAAGCTCAGACTCCTGTGAACAAGCTCTGAGAACATATTTCTTTAGCAGACAGGTCTCCTAAGATTATACCAAAGATTGCTTCCATTTCCAGTTTGAAACAGGCCGAAAGAAGGATTTTATACCTCTGTGGAATTCTGTGTTTGGAAGGAGATACATGAGTGATACAGGATAGCACTAGATGATCTGGGTTTTCCTGTAAATTCTCCAGCTTCTTCTGTAATAAGCCTGGCATAAGTTAACTATCTTATGTCCTACCGTGTTCTAAGAAACTATTCTGGGACATGAATACAAGGATCAAAGAGACAAAGGTGTCCAACCACTGCCTCCTCAAGATTCCCTTTCGGGCTGAGTTGACTGCATCCCAGAGGGGCCCAAGATCTGACTCTGCATGCACAAGGAAAAGCTGCTCATCCCATTAACTGCAGTTCTGCATCACAGGCAGTAAAGATTATTGTTAATGGTTTTGTTCTTTTCTCACTGCTACCGTAGTTAAATATTTTAGAAAAAGTAGCTTTGGCAAATCATCAGAATCTTACCAAGTTTTACATCTCAGCAACAGAACTTGGAGAAAACTTCAAGCCAGCCCTGAGTCCAAGTGAAAGAAGAGGGCCACAAAATGATGAGTGTTGCTAGAGATGCAACCCTTGACATTGCTGTCCAAAAGCAGCAGTGTCAGCCCAGTAATTGCTGCCACTGCTTCAACCACCTGTAGGGATCACAAGCTTATCTCGTTGGAGTGCAGCACTGAGGAAAGCGGGCAATTTCCCCTTCCTGCCTTTCCAGCCTGCCTGGGACTTGAGGCGAGGCTGGAGAAGGGCTCTGCCAGCAGCAGACAAGGACAAACTTTTGCTTAACAAGGTTGTCGCCCCCAGCAAAAAGGTGCCAACAAGGTGTTCAAGAAACATCTAGATGTGGTGCTTCGGGACATGGTTTAGTGGGTTAGGTGGTGTTGGGTTGATGGTTGGACTTGATGATCCTTCAGGTCTTTTCCAGCCTTAATGATTCTATGATTCAGGAAAAGCAGAGCTTAGCAGATGGCTGAAAGCAAAGCTACGTAGAGACATTTAAACTCACTCCATACATTATACAGTTCATTGTAACTTTCTGTTCAGAAAAGCATTGTATGAATACATTGCATTGGGTAAGAGCCTGAAAAAATTCTGTATAGCTACCTTTAGTGTTATGCCATGGAGGAGAAAGTGTATTTTTTTCTAATTACTAGATGATGGATATTATTTGGACTAATGGGTACTAACCCCAGGAAAACTGTCAGACATGCCCTTGAAGCATAAACAAGACATGCCTGACCTCGTGTTTAAAATATTAACTCACTGGGATCAATCTTCTTACATATGGTAATGTTTTGAAGAGTAGGTTTACTGAAAAGTAGCACTGGCTAAATTACTTTAATTCCTCCATCTAATTCATGCAGTGCAAGATGTAATTGAAAGCTAAACTAGCATGCCCAAAAGCTAATAACACAACTGTAGCGTAAACAGAACAGAAATGAAGAGCAGCGAGGAAAGCAACTTCATTGGCAAATAACACATATTTGAAGGGAAAGAATTCAGTAAGTGAAAACCAGTATCCTGCTGCCACAAACAGATCCCAAGGCATTAACTTCATTTAATTGAAAAAGATTCATTGTTCTTATATAGCCTGCAAGAGTCAACAGCATTGCATCACTGCATTCTAGGTGCTGCAGAGCTGGGTGTTCTTGACTGTACTATTTTTGCTAAAACCATACTTTCCTGAATTATTTCAGTAAAAAGTGTAACACCTGTATTTGGCCAAGGGGGTGATTATAATCAGTCTAGAATATCTTCATTTTACAGTTGGGCTTTAAACTAAGTAGAAAAAGAATTTTAGCAGAAGGCTGATGAAACAAAGAGAGTTAAGAGTACCCATTTCTATGGCTGAGGCAGAGGTAACTGTTCAGGACTGCCCACTCTTGACTCTCCAATTGACAGTCCATTACAAAACACTATTTATATTAAAACTTTAATTGGGAAATTAATTTATGAAGAATGCCTTGGGATGTTAATGATTAATTGCTTTGATATCTAAATCACAAATTTCATTTGAGGCTCAATTTGATTATCACCATAGACACTTCTGCTAACCACTTTCTTACATTAGATTTTATGTTAGATTTAGAGGAATATCATGCACTGAGTTTTGTCATTAGCCTGCCATAGTTGCAAGGTGGTTACAGAAAAGCAATTTGGTCAATTTGTCTTGACAGCCCAAAATATACAGTGCTTCTATCCATAAACATCCCTTTAGGATAATTAATGACTTTCTAATGAATCTCAGATCCGTGTTAGCATCTGTCAGATTGATTTTACATGATGTGTAGAAGGGTAATATAAACCCAAAATACAGTAGGTATTAACTAAGCAGTTTGAAGATATTAGGGGGAATGGAAAATTCCAGAAATAACTATAAATAGAAAAAGGCAGAAAAAAATTTAATTCCAGGTTTCCTGCCTCTTCAAGGGTTAAGTTACTTAAGCCTTAGATGTTTCCTTGAAAAATACCTTGGGTTAAATTTTTTACTATTTAAAAACATTGAAATAGAAAATAATGTTATTTGTTCATGGTTACCTGCTCCAAGATCAGCCAGGCACCCTGGAGGTGCATTTTGGGAGCTTAAAAGTCAATTAAGTTAGGAGATCAGTGTCGCTGTATAGCTAATCAAAACAGAGAGGTTCCTCCAGGGTACCTTAAGAGGAGTCTCCCCCTTGTTTAAATAGCTGCATTTCAAACATGTGACAAAACATTCACAGAAAATATTCAGGGATTTTTATGGAGCATTGGATCATTCCTTCAGGACCCTGACTTGAGTGACAAGGTGGGCTGTTACCTCTGGGTGTTACATGTTTGTTACTCACCCCCTCACCCAGTGCAATTTGTGATCAGTCGTAAAAAAATTGCATCTAATACTATCCAGGCCCAGAGACAGATGGATTTTGATTTCATATGAACATAGTAACTAGGAGGACTGAAATGGCATAGGAGGAGGTGCCACTTAACTCCATTTGCTTATTCTTGCACTATCATTATCTTAATTACTAGGCCCCAACAGTTCCAGGTGTTTCTTTTTTAATTAAAGAAAGATGTTTGGGCTCTTCATTCTGAGTCACTGTTCAAGAATTAAACTAAGTGAATGACTGAGACAGTCAGTAACATGGAATGGATTGCTATTATATAAAAATACAAACTGATGCTTAAAAAAAATCACTGACAAAACATGCAAAAGTCAAAATATAGTTATTAAATGAACCTAATATCTCAAATGGAAACTGTCAGTATCAAAAATAAACCTAGAAAAATATCCTGTCTCATGACATATGTCACTACAAGAGCAGTTCTGTCAAAAGTGATACATTTCCTCGTGGTAGTTACACATCACCAAAGAATATATGTATTCTAAGAAAAAACACCTCAAAGGAAACACTGACAGATTTTCAAGCTGCTCTCCTACAAACCCAGCTGTTAGTAGATTGCATGC